TTATTAGTTTCTCTTAAATCGTAGAAGACCATGACTTGGTCAATATTATTACCAATTCGTCTAACGTGTTTGATAAAACATGAACCCAACCTTGCTAAATCGAATATCTCCGACCGGGTCGTCAATGGATTTACCTTACCACTAGTTAGATCTTCGGTCGGATTTTACTAAACATTATTGAAATGATTATTGTTGTTCCCTATATTGTGAAATAGCCTAAAATGTTTGTTCTTGATTCTTAAACATATTTTACCTGTCGTTTAAGAAAATTCCATTTTAGCTAACCCAAAAAGAAAAAAGAGTTCAAGAAATGGTATTATGTCGCTTTAAGAAAAAAAATTCACAATCTTTGAATAATCAGCATATATTCAGAATTTTAATAGAATTGGAACCAACATCGAAGCTAACTGTTGGAACTAACCGTCACTTCTTACTTACGTATCTCTTCGTCTATATATACGTGTTGTAAATAAAATTTAAAAACATATACAATTGTACAAACAAATATTACGTTACAATTATGGAAGAGGTAATGTCAATGATCTTCCACGGATTCAAACTAGTTAAGGAGCTTGAGTCCAGCTTACCGGAAAAGGCACCGGAATCTTTATCAGTCTCCCTCGACGAGATCGCGAAAACATTCGGTGATGCAAACGAGCGGCTGAAGATAGTCCATGGGATCAAGAACTCCGAGACCCTATTGAACCAATCTAAACCGGTGATGATTGCGTCCGGTTCAGATCAGATGTTAATGCAGATTGAACCGGATATGATGCAGGAGTATTGGTCAAGGTGTGGTGGTTTCGCATCATCTCAGGGAACCGAAGCCAAGATTCAAAGACAGTTCATGGCTGTTGATGGTGGCGGTGGAAGGAATTTGACGGTTGCGGAAGGATCCTCCGGCGCCGGTAGCGGTTCCTCCACGCCTATGAAGGGGAGAAGGTAAAACAGAATTGTATAAATAAGTTACAAAAATGAAAATATATATCATATGATACCAATAAACCATGATTTTGTTCCAAAATATCACAATTTGAGATTTTGGTAAAAAAAAAAAAAAGGTTTAAAAGTTTATAGAAAGGCAACCACTGAGTGAAAAAAAAAAAAAAAATTATAGAAAGGTTCGTAAAGTCTCTTTATATAGATTTCTAAAACATTTTATTCATAAACCTAAAGTATGTAGTGTTTTTGAAATTTTAAGATTTTAACGGTGATTTTGGAAAAAAAAACAAAACACAAAATAAAGAATTTTCCATATATAGGTAAAAATTATGATATTGGATAAAATTCATAAAACAAGTTGGCTACGTAACAGAATACATCAAAAGTTAAAGCAAGAAAATGTCGAAATCTTTCATTTTGTTGTTACTAGGCTAAATTTTGCCCAAAAAAAAAAACACACGATATGATTGATTAGTCCATTTCAAGTTTCAAATTTTCAATGTTGGCATATATAGGAAGGATGACGGAGAAGAGAAAACGGTGTTTTTGGTGGCGGCGTTAAGGACGGGAAACACAGATCTTCCACCGGACGATAACCATACTTGGCGTAAATACGGCCAAAAGGAAATTCTTGGTTCTAGGTTTCCTAGGTAATTTAACTTTTACTAATGGTTTTTACTATCGATTAATTAACGACCCAAGTTTAGTTGGAAGCCCAAACGAATGCGCTTTTACGTTTAGTCTTAGTCAAAGATTCTAGATTTTTTGTTTTGCTTTTTACAGTCAAAGATTCTAGAAAGAAAAAAATCCATATTTGTACTATGATGAATATATTTTCTTAAGAAAATTGTTGAAAGAAGCTAATTAAGGTCACAAGGGGTGGGTTCCTGTAGTTAGTTAACTAGCCAAGAATTAAGAAATAAACATTTACATCACACCATCATCATCATGCATGTTGTAAACAGTCTCTTTTTGATTCTTAATCACCAAGTTTATTAGAAACATGATCAAATAACCATATTATTAAACTTCAGCTGAAAGTTGAAATTTCTATGTTATAAAGTTACATCTTCTCAGATTTCGCTATCAAGTTTTTTTCTTTTTGAAAAAGTTAATTTCGTTATCAATTAAGTTATATATATATAAATCAATAATTTCCTTTGGTCCATGTTAATTAATAACTACGTACTTGCTTATCATTATTAAAAGTAATGGCATGAATCTATTGATACTAACTATAAATTTAAAAAAATAATAAGAATAAATAAACAATTATGCAGGGCCTACTATAGGTGCACCCACCAAAAGTTATACAATTGTCCAGCCAAGAAACAAGTCCAACGCCTCAACGACGATCCTTTCACCTTCAGAGTTACTTACCGTGGCTCACACACTTGCCACATCTACTCAACCGCTCCTACCGCTTCTGCGGCCGCCCCAACCGTTCCAATCTCATATGCGGCCGCCACCACGGGCCATTCCGTTGATTACGGTCCCGCCCTCTTAGACATGGCCGACACTATGTTTGGTAGTGGCGGGATCGGAGCAAACATGGATTTCATATTCCCTTGTAATGATCCATCTCAGGATCACCACTGTTCCCGGCGGCCGGACGACGGCGAGGGAGACCAATAGGATTCATCTACAGAGCAAGGACATGTTTCTATTTAATTTATTGTTAGTATTAAAGTGTTGCATATTACACGTGATTCTAGTTTGGGATCTAATGGGAACCAATTTTTTTAGGGTAGTTCGCTTTTTTTGACAAGGAAATGTGTTGTTATTGAATGGGGAACCAATTTTAATTATTTTCATAGTTTTCTTCTCATTCTCTATTTAATTATTCAAACAACTTCAAGCGACGATAAAAGAGAATTTAAATATCAAATAATCACCTTTTTTTTTGTGTGCAAAATACTCATTTCATTAAAAGTCTCTTACATCGGGTTTTTATCAAACCTTTCTAAAGTAT